CATTTTTAGACAGAGATAGCAAGGTTATCAGGGAGAGGGAAATATATCGAGGGTTGGGGGGGGGGTGGGGAGCGGGAAGCCCGGGCGGGGAGGGGCGAGGGCGGCGGGCTGCGCAAGGTGAGGGTCCCCGGCCGAGCCGCGGTGCAGGGGGCGCCGCGCCGGGGAGTCGGCGAGAGCGGGCGAGGGCGGGCGTGAGCGCGGGACGCTCGGGCGGCAGCCCCGCTGCAAAGTGTTTAAAAAGTTCCTCCGGCCGAGGAGCCCCGTGTCAGACCCGAACAGCCAATCTCCGGCAGACGTGACGTCAGGCAGCAAGTCCTAATTGGGGAACGCGTGCGAGGAGCCCAGAACGCCGCACCCTCCACATCCACACCGATCGTTCCCGTGCGTTGGCCAGGCCGGGGTCCCCGCTCCCGTGTCCCGGGGAAGGACAAAGGACCCTGGACGGTCCTGCCTTCGGGGCGCCCCACAGGGGTGCTTTGATATGGCTTGGAAGGCATTCCCAGTTTTCTTTCGGGTGTTTGCTTGGATACTTGCTGCGGGGATTGGATCGAAATGCCAGATAGATAGGGCTCCAGGAAGGACTGCTCGGGGTGCGCCTATCTGCCCACCCGAGAGCGTTTCGATGGCTGTGGGATGGGGAGCCCGCGCGCCGGGCTCTGGGTCTGCAGCCTCTGGTACCCTGCTCCTCGCTTGGCCGGTGCAAGAGCGCAGCAGGAGCAGCAGGGGGCGCCCGCGGAGACAGGGAAGCCCGCGACACAAATCCACCCCAAGGCAGCCCTGCACTCGGTGAAAAGGCCTTGAGGATAGAAATACTAAGTTTAGGATTCATGACAACCCCAAGCCATGATGAATATTTTTTAAAGTCAGATCAGTTCCCTGGAGCTCTATCGGAAAGGAAAGAATCGCTCACTAGCATTGCCCCAAAATCACATTAGGGGAGATGCAGAATGTTCCAGAGTGCAGAGTCAACGGGGGTCATAGTGCTCTCTAGGGAAAACCATGACATAATGACATATTTACTTCTGGCATTTGAATTGAAAACGATGTCTGCAGCAGAACTACTCCGTTTATTGCATGAATGCAATAGAAAGCCCATGGTTATAGTAGCCCTTTTAAAAAAGCCATATAACTAAGAATAATAGTTGCCAAGGCTTTGGTTGTTCTTGTTCATATTTATTTGTGGCTTAACGTTGTGTTGTCTGCTTGCACTGGCTAGTAGACAATTGGTAGCAGGTGACAGTGGCTCACAAAGAATTAATGGAAATAATTTTTAAATTGAAGAAACTTAATCCACGAATCTATTTTTTCTGTGCATTGAAGGAAGACCTCCAGTATTTGATTTGGCGGGAGAGGGCCTCCTTCCATCTGCCTGAACACCAGTTTCATGTGAGAACCCACCCTGAGAGCCACTGTCCTGGAATGATAGCCGGAGCTGGAGGGAGAGACCTGAGTGCAGTGCTAACACAGCAGTGAATTAGCTGTAAGACCACGGGCAGCTCACTTCTCTGAACTTCAACTTCCTCCTCATAACACAAAGAAGCTGGATTAAAAGTTCCTTCCAGCCCTAACATGATCGGTGAGGTCACTCCAGGTCAGCCTCTGAGCAAAAGGCAACCAGCTGAGAAGATTGGGAAGAGATCAACCAATGAACCCATGTGCATATGGACACAGATGGTAGGGTGGTGAGGGCTTGGGGGCAAGAGGGGCAAAGGGGGTTGGAGATGCTAATGGGGGGAAAAGGTTCATATGTAATACTTTCAACAATAAAGATTCATTTTAAAAAGGGAGGAGGGTCAAAAAGCTGTACTGTAGGAAGGACACACACCCAAGCTAATGACTCTCCAAGCACCTACTGTGCTGGCGAGCACAGAGGCTGACCCTCTGCCGATGACAACATATCACAAGGCACAGCCCCTTTGTCCTATCTCGCAAGATGTAAAGAAACGAGAGCTTTAAAAAAAAGATAAACAACAACTAAACCTATGTCCAGTGCAACCTTTGTCATCTCGTGGAAGACTCACAACATCTAGGGAAACCATTTCCAACCCGCAACTCAAGTCAATCTACAGAGATTTAACCTCGCAGGTAAAATTCTATAGCAGCCATTGAAATGGTTGCGGTAAGGGAGTGCCTACTCCATTCTGAAGAGTCAGAACAGGAGAGTAGAGGTGTCAGACAGGTGAAAGCTCAGAAAATGGTTAAGGACAGCATCACCAAGGGACCAGACTTTAGTGCGATGGTGGGCGGGCTGTTCTTGTGGGGCACTCACAGGGCCTAGATGGACCACAGACATCAAAGCCTCTTTCAGTCCATGAGAGGTAGCTGCCTGCAGAGACAGAATGTGGGCCGGAGCCGTCAGTCTGGGCCTATGACACGCGAACTCATTTTTTTGGTTGATTTTTCTTCATTAAATGGCATTTAAATATATAAAATAAATATAAAAAATATAAGTCTTTGTTTTACTATGGTTGCAAATATCAAACAATTTCTATATGTGACACGGCACCAGAGTTAAGTTAGGGTTTTTCAAAATGCTGACACGCCGAGCTCAAAAGGTTCGCCATCACTGGTCTGGGCCCTAGCGCTCTGCTTCACTTCCCGTGGGAACTTGGGCATGTCAGGTCGTCTCACCTCTCTGGGTCTCAGTTTCTAGAGAGCCTGGGGGTCAACACGAGGTCCTTGCCTTGGGGAGACCAATGACCTGGATTTGCCATGCTCTGTGGCTCTGCGGAAGAATGTTTTCTGCTGTTCAAGCTTCGTTCCTCTGGACCCACAGCAACGCAGAGTGGGCATTTCACCCCAATCTTCAACCTGCTTACAACCTGCCTCATGATTTGGCTCTATCACAGTCAAATCATCTGTGAAACAGAACCACAGGAAGACTCTTCAGTGTGAATGTTCATCTCATCCCCGCAGGACCCATAACCATTTCGTATACATGTGGGTATACACAACCATGCATGTGGCAATATCCACATAAGTAAGCAGCCCCCATCTACTGCGGAAACTCTAGCAAAGTCATAGTTTTGCACATAAATCTCGTTATTTATATACCTAGCAAGATAATCCTTGGAAAATGTGTCATGCACCCTCTGTGCTATCTTAGGAGATGGTTACTCATCTAAAACACTGAACTCACTATTATTCTAAGAGTGAAAGCCCAGTTTCTGTCCGGCATGAGGACCAGCCTTTGCCAAGTCCAGACCCAGTTTAATGCCCTGGGTTCTGGACGCACACACACACACCCTCTCCCTCCCTAGGTTTCAGGTCTGTTTATATTGGCAATACACAACTTCCTGGTTCACAAAACAAGTCTTTAAAGATCTCATAGAACTTCTTGGATTTCAGATGGTTTTCACAAAACAATACGCAGATGAGCTAAGTGTAAATGAATCAGAAAAGAGGATTACATTTCCCATAAAAAACTCATGAGCTTGAGGATTAGGGGAAGAAAGGACGGCTGGCAAATGCCAAATGTTTTAAAGCACTTTGAAACCATTAGTCAAACTGAAAATGCAGCCAGGTTCCCTCATCCTTGGACTTTATGAGGTTTGTAATTGGAAATCTTTCCTACATTTCAGATCAGCTACAAATCAAATTTAGTGTCTGCCTGTGATGAGAACTGCTTCCACTCATGTTTTCTTCCAGCCTAGGATTTCATGGGATACCTTTCAGTTCCCTTCTAGTTGCATCAAGAAATTCTTAGAAAGAGAAAGAGAGGAGAGGAAGGGAAAGAGAGAAACAGGAAGTCAATAAAGTTGTAGATAAAAGGAGAAGAAAAAAGAGAATGAGAGCGAGAGAGAGATTGAGGAATGGAAAAGAAAGGGAGAGAGGCCTCGGGGTGGCTCCTGGTGACCATGGCCTTTGCCCTGTACTGGCTGCTGTAGGCCATCCTGTGTGGAGGCCATGGCCATGGGGCCTGAGGAGCATCCTTGGAGAACATTAGCTGGGAAACAGACCAGGGAATTGGAGGATGCGGAGAGGGGCCAGGAATTCAAACTTAGCTAAGAAACCTTGTTCCATCTGTAGGAACTGTGACAAGAATTCCATTGATAATAGTAAATTCAATTGCAAGTGTATTCCTTTTACTATTTGGGTGAAGATCAATGAGGGAACTAAAGATTCAGAAGAGATACCAGCAGAAGTTATTACTTCTGTCTTTATTGGAATATACATATCTTAGCTGGTTGTCCTTGGACTTGACCAAAATGGAAACCTGACCATAAAACCAGAG